GCGTAAACGTCCCTTTCGCCGGGAAAAACTGGTCGAATTTGAGCGACCTCAGCGATGGCAGCAGAGAGATGTCGAGCCCGGCCCAGCCGAACCCGCCGGGATGCGAGTAGGTGTCGTCTGAGAGGGATAGTCGCGTGATGCTGGGGAGGCGAGCGAGATTCGCGAGCTGCTTGTAGGTGACTTTGGAGGCCACGATATGGAGGTTCGTGAGCGACGTGAGGTTCGGAAATTCCGGAGCGTCGAGCGTCGCCGCGTTGGTGAGCGCGAGGGTATGGAGATTTGATAGCCGGTAGAACGAAGAGGGTAAGTCCACGTCACCGTGAAGGCAGAAGAGCGACAGCTGCTCCAGCTGAGTGCACTGCTGAAAGAATAGGTCCAGGCCAACGTCTGTGATCGGGTGCTCGTCTTTCCTCCCGACGTACGCTATCGCCGGCGCGGATCCGCTTCCCACGTGGAGGATTGTTAGCTTAGGCCCGCATGACGTGGCGAGGTGAGCGAGGAACGCGTCGTCGAGGGTTTCCACGCTGCCGTCGCACAGGTGGAGATGGGTGAGGTTCGCGAAAGATGCGACGGCATTCGCGAGGTCCCGGCGAGAAACGACGAGATTTTCGCCGATGAGTAGGGTCGAGACGTAACGATGGGAAACGCGGCGCCAGCGACGGCAGACGGACGCGAGGCGGAAGATCCGGTGAGCATTAGCTGAAGCGGGAGGTGCTTCTAACGGGGTTTTCTCCATACGAGTATCTTCTAACGGAATCTCCTTCTTCTTCTCTTGACGATTGTACTTATCATCTGAATAGCTTGCAGATATGGAGCGACTCCGAAAGTTCGGGTTGAGGGAATCGGGGTCCCAAAAGACGTCGCTGTTTGATTTCGGAGGCGCTATCTGCCCGTAGTGCCATAGTATTCTAGCAAGAACGTCGTTAGGAAGATCGTCTATGTGCGTGCGCGACTGCATTGCTTCGAGCGGGATCACGGCAGCGAGAAGCCTGATGAGAGATGAGTCAAAGAAACGAGCTGTTGTGTTCACACTACGCTACTACCGACTGATGTTTCTGCCTCCTGTTCTCCTCTCAGAAGAACCGATGACTAACGACTAACGACTAGAGACTAAGTGACAGAAGTAGAGTGCTATGGTAGGGTGGTCGGGGGAGAGGGGTGTGAGGTTGGTCGAGACGGGGTTGGGTGAGTTAATATTGAGTGAGAAGAGGTCAAGTAGGGCGAGATTGCGTTAGGCGAGGTTTGGAGGAGCTGGAATTGCGCGGGATGAACCTGCCAGTCACAAGGGAAAGGATGGCAGGGTGATTCCATACCAGACAAATATTGAGAGGTGATGGGTGTGATGGCTCGATTGGTTGCGCTGCGCGCACTGCTTCGATTGCAGTGCTTCGATTCCACAAACTATAAAAAATAATATTCCAAAACTCATTACTCAAATAGACATTCTAAGCTCATAGAAAAAAACACAGCCATTCCTAGAGAATCCAGCTCGTTTCATGTGTACCTCACCAGCATTAGCGAGCCCAAGCCTGATTTTCTTCTCCTCCAGACAGAACTCCAAGCTCCCCTCCCCAAGCTGCACCTGCCGCTGGCGCCATTAAACCATTCTCTTGCTGCCAGCCATTATCCCTGCCTTCGCCCTGGCCATAGATGCCGCCCCACCTGTTCCCCTCCCTCAACCTCCTCTTCCCTTTTAAGGACACTAAGCCTGTATCATCAAGCCATACATCCAACGAATCCCATGGGGCTGCACGTGACCTTCACTATCCGCCATCTGATCACACTTCCCAACATTCAACACCTGCAGCATCTTCAGCTCAGTCAACTCCTCTGGCAGACCCCTCAACTGCTTGCAGTCATTCAAATGCAGGCTCCTCAGCCGGGTCAACTGAGCGAAATTGGCTGGCAGGGAGCGGATGGAGGCGCCAGAAACACTCAAGAAATAAAGGCAAGGAAGCTGGGTGTTAGCAGGCAGATGCTCCAGAGCCGGACAGCCGGTGAGGCTCAGTTTCCTGAGGCTGGATAAGGCACCGATGCCATCAGGAAGGGAAGTCAGCTTGGTTGCGTGAACGATTCCTAGGGAAGTCAGATGATGCAGCTGCACCATAGATTCTGGCAGCTCCTTCAATTCCTCAGCATAGTCAATCTGCAGCTCCCGCAGCTGCTGCAATGCCGACCCAATGTCCCTTGGAAGCCTCTTAAAACTTGCGGCCCAAATTGCGAGGCGCGGCCTTCAAATGCACTGCGTTTAAAAGTAGCGCTTTCGTGGGTGTAGAATGGGGTAAAGGGAGTCTCGCCACTCTGGGGGTGCCTTTCAAGTTCACTGGGTGCTGCAATTCGGAACACCATGTGTAGAACGTTTTTCGGCCTTTAGCCCTCCAGAGGACCAAGGAGCGCAGCTGTGGGAGCAGAGCCAGGGAGAATGGGAGCTCCTCAGCATCATCCCGCAATGTTAGCTTCAGGTGCTTCAGGTGAGGAAAAGTGCTGCTAAGGGTCATCCTTTCCTCAACGCCAATCAGCTTCAGGCTCGGCCTTCTGAGCTTCGGCAGCAACGAGACGTCAGGCAGATCAGAGGCCTCGTAGCAAGTTTCCAGATTTAAGATTTTGAGGGAGGGTGGGAGAGATTCAGGCGGCTCACTCTGAAACCTGCCTCTGGTCAGATCCTGCCGTTTCAGCTTCCTAAGGCTCTCTAGCCATTTCGGAGCCGAAGTGAGCGAAATACAGTCTTCAACGGTCAGGATTTGAAGGCCCGTGAGGCTTGTCAGGGATGCCGAAAGCTCACTGAATAGCGGACAGGAATGAACGTGCAGCTTGTGCAGGTTAGTCAGGTTCCCAGATCCTCAGCAAATTCACAGATCATGCACGTGTCCAGTTCGAGTCTTATAAGCTACGACAGTTGCGTGAATGACGGCGGAAATTGCGTCTGCAGATACTGTCCGTTAAAGTAGAGAGTGTGCAGGTTCAAGAGCCGTCCGATGTCCTCTGGAAGCATTACTTCTGGCAATTTCACCACGGAAATTGTTTGGAGAGCTATGAGGCAGCAGAAAGCTTCGGGTAGCTGGCGAATCTCCTCGCAATCCATCAGGAAAAAAATTTCCAAGGAGGTGAGTTGACAGAGGGAGTCCGGGAGTCCCGAAAGTGCCTGCGCGTGCACCGCCAGAGTTTACATGGCAGATAGGCTTCCTAAGTCCACTGGCAAGCTGGAAATCTAGCCACACCCCGAAAGCGTCAGCCTTTCTAGGAGTTAAAGAGAAGTGAGGCTTTTAGGCAGATGTGTGAGACTGGAGCATTGGCGAAGAATCGTGTCGCGAAGAATCAGCTTGCGAAAACATGGCAGCAGATCGCCGAAATCGCCTTGGAGGTTCTCCAAGTCGGACTGGACGATCTCCAGCCGTTCGATGCTGGTGCACGGTGATGCTGATGATGATCGGAACATACTATCGAATGTCAGTGATTTTAACAAAGGGAACCGTGCAATGTCGAGCCGACTAGTGGTCCAGCTGTCAGGAGAAAAGCAAGTGAAATAAAAGATTGTGAAGCTCGTAAGGCTAGGGAGTTGGGCGAGGCCTGCGAGCTGCTTACTAGTCAGCTCTGGGAGAGAATGTAGACGTTGGTGAGAGAGGAAAGGTTGGCGAATGGGGAAGCTTCGAGCGGTGAAGCGTTTGCCAGAGCGAGAGTGTGCAGACCCGTCAGGTGAAAGAAGGAATATGGGAACTCGACGTCTCTGTGAAGGCAGTAGAGCGACAGCTGCTGCAGCTGAGAGCACTGCCCGAAGAACCGATCTAAACCGGCTTCTGTGATCGGATGCTCATCCTTCCTCCCCTCGTAATCTGAATCTTGCGTGATTCCGCTTCCCACGTGGAGGATTGTTAGCTTCGGGCATGACGTGGGGAGGCGAGCGAAGAATGCGTCGTCGAGGGTTTCCACGCCGCTATCGCAGAGGTGGCGATGGGTGAGGTTCGCGAAGGATGCGACGACGCTTGCGAGATCTCGGCAAGAAAAGGCGATATTATCGCCGACGAGAAGCGTGGTAACGTAATTCTTCTCTTGATGATGTCAGCGATGGCAGATGGATGCGACAAGGACATTCCGATGACTGTTGGAGGAGGCGGAAGGCGTCGGCAATGGAGTCTTCTTATCTTGGCGAATGGGCTTATGATTTGAAAGGTTTGCAGAGACGTAATTTGGTTCCAAAGGCAAGGTATCCCAAAAAGCGTCGCTATCCGATTTCCTAGGCACGGGCTGCTCGTAGTGCCACAAGTTATGAGTGAGAAGATCGTTTGGCAGATCGCGAATGTGTGCCTGAGACTCCATATTCTACGGCAATAAGAAGGCCGCGATAAGAAGACAGGATATTGCCTGGTCACCAGGGCTTACGCTAGGCCTTATGGAGTTTCGGAGCGTCCCGAGATGGGGTTCAGAAGTACCCAGAATTTTCCGAATCCCATAGAAATTTCACCCAGAATCCTTCCGAGTTCTCGACATAGCAACCCTGCCAAAGGTCGTGTCAGTCATCTCCCCTGATGTGTGCAGAGAACATGACTAGGCTGATTGGCTGAAGTACTGAAATCGTCCAGTGGGTACATTCCGCGCTCGTGTCATCCCATATTCCGGTTATCTTTTGCCAACGTTTTCTAACTTTGGGTCTTCCAGCATGGGGCAAATGATGACCGGAAGCCCCGATGACACGAGCCCAGAATGTACCACAAGGACCTTTTGTGATTCGTGACGTGAGAATCTTCGCCACCACGCAGTGGAATGGAAGTTCTCCTCACAGAGCTCCATGCTACGAGACTAGTTTTTCAGGATTCATGAAAATAGTATACGGAATGGATCAGGATTTCAAGGAGAATCCAATCGGAAACATTCAGACTTTCGGAGAATACCAACCTGTTAAAATTCGGGTTCGGGGCTTGAAAAACTCTTAACTTCTCGACATTTAGGGTAGCTACCCTTCTAGCATAAGCCCTGCTGGTCACTAATGCCCACAGACTTATCTTCTTCCTTGATTAAGGTGCGTGGAAAGTTGAACACCAACGAACCGACGAGCGAACGAAAGGAGCCGCGGGTCTGTGGCCAATCACGTGCATGCAAAATGTTTTGTGAGAAAAGTTTCAACTGATTGAGGGGCATGTCTAAAAAATTTCTTGAAAGTTGGGCACGCGTGCCAGCATGAGACCCCACAAACAACAAGGTGTAGTTCGCCATCCTGAGAACCCTAGAATAGAGACCTGTACTTTTGCAAACATTGAACAGCGCCGTTTTTTTTTCTTCCGTTTTGGCGAAATGCCGAACTCAACGCGATTTTGTTACGGTTTCAAAAATTGAAGCCAAGATGTTCTGTTTGCCTCGTTTGAATCACCTCGTGAGTGTACTCGAATGATAAGCAACCCAAAATCTCCTGAAGGGCAGAACGAATGGATGAACGGAGCGGACGAACGGAACCACCGTCCTACTTTCCATGCACCCTTAGATGGATGTGAAGAAGGTGGAAGGAGCACATGTCATTTGATATGTAAAATTTGAAGTGTTCAAACTTTCAAAATTGCGCATTATGAATGCGAAGCTGCTTGTAGCGCAATCTTCGACCATCGTCGAAGCGCGCTATTTGCCCTTCTCCAACTATATAATGGGGTTGGAGGTCATTCTTCCTCCACCCACGTTTTTCGCTTTTCCCAGCTCAAGTTCAATTGAGTTCCCATCCCGCCTTTTTCACTCTGCCACTCTGGCGAAGTTGAAAACTCTCTGTGCTGAAAATCCGCCTGTCGATTCTCTAGATATTTTGGAACCTGAGAAAAACGCCAACGAAATGGCGGGTGATCACGGCAACAAGCGTTGGCCTCGACTAAAATTGAAGATGCAAAAAAGGAGTCGTCGCGTCACGCTCGTCCTTCCAAGATCGCCCGCGCCGAGAAGGAGCTCGCCGCTGCCACACAAGACAATGCCAAGGAAGACAGTGACTCCGACAACGAGGCTGGTGAAGCTCATACGCACATTTATTTTTTCGCACCCACCGAGCACCTCCCACCTCTTCCTTCCTCTAACCCCACCATCGCGGCATCATCGTTCAACAATGCCGGGGTACGCGAGCAAGCCAAGTTCCTGGAAGACCTGCGAGCGTACATAAAGCATGCGGAGCACAAGGTGCGTCATGGCGACACATCAGGCTCGCTCGAATATTTCCAGGCGGCGTACGCGCTCATCACCAAGCGCTTTGAGCTCCTCCAAGTCGCCGACGCCTCCGACTTCAAGACGGCACTGTGCTTCAAGCTCTACCAAGAGAAGAGTGTCCTCACCTCACGCCCCTTCAAGCAAGCAGTTGCAGACATTGCGGCAATGAAACCGCGCAAGGCTCCTATGGCCGTGGCCATCCCGTTGGAGGTTGCGGCCCTATGGGCTTTGGAGGAAAGTTCGGCTCTCCACCGAGCGGCGCCCAGAGGGGCTTCCAAGGCGCTTGCTTTCGCTGTGGCCAGCCGGGCCACACGGCGAACAACTGCACTGGAAATGGGAGCGGATCACGAGGGCCCGCACCTGTTGTGTAAAAAGTAAATGAGGATTTTATGTTATTATTTTGTGGACCTCGGAGTAGGTGCCACTACACCATGGGATGCTTAGGGCCGCTGGCCATTCCCTCGGTGGGAATTAGAATGAAAAGACCGCTGGCCAAACCCGATAGAGAGTATGTGTATAGGCCATGGGCCAAGCCCCAAAGGGGGAGAAAGTATTTTTTTGACCTACCTCGGTAGTGGCACCATTGGAGGTGCCGGTTCTTTTCGTTTCATCATCATTTTGAAAGACAGAATCCCAGTTGGGTAGTGGCCAAGGCTTGAGGCCTAAGACTCGAAGCTCATGGGTCGAAGCATTTCAGTTCTTGTTGATCTCATTTTTAAAAATCTTATTAACCCCAATCTAAACAAAGGGCTCACAAGGCCTTGGGACCTCACAAGGCAACTCCGTTTCTGGTGCCTAGGAACCTATCATGGGTGTCCTTGCTACTCCAAGCCCAACCTAGAAGAAGGCACGACCAATAATGGGTGCGGCCGCATCAAGGCACATGAAACCAAGCACTTAGTTGGGCCTACAATGTCTAGCGCGAGGTACATAACTAGCCTTAGCTTCCGTCCCATCACATGCTCTTTAAGCAACCATTGGAGGGACTCGGCTTACTGGAACCTGTGATGCTCGCAAGAGAGACGGTGCAAGCAAGAGAGAAAGAGAGAGAGAGAGAGAGAGAGAGAGAGAGAGAGAGAGAGAGAGAGAGAGAGAGAGAGAGAGAGAGAGAGAGAGAGAGAGAGAGAGAGGGAGAGAGAGAGAGAAAGAGAGAGAGAGAGAGAGAGCGAGAGAGAGAGAGAGAGAGAGAGAGAGAGAGAGAGATAGATAGATAGAGAGAGAGAGAGAGAGAGAGAGAGAGAGAGAGAGAGAGAGAGAGAGAGAGAGAGAGAGAGAGAGAGAGAGAAAGATAGAGAGAGAGAGGGTGAGATAGAGAGAGAGAGAGAGAGAGAGAGAGAGAGAGAGAGAGAGAGAGAGAGAGAGAGAGAGAGAGGAGGGAGAGCAAGAGAGAGAGAGAGAGAGAGAGAGAGAGAGAGAGAGAGAGAGAGAGAGAGTGTGAGAGAGAGAGAGAGAGAGAGAGAGAGAGAGAGAGAGAGAGTGAGAGAGAGAGAGAGAGAGAGAGAGAGAGAGAGAGAGAGAGAGAGAGAGAGAGAGAGAGAGCCCGAATGTGAGAAAGCAACATCGAAAGTGCGTGCACAGTGGCGCAGCATTCGACTGGCTGCTGGGCCAGATACACATTGCCCTAGTCCCTTACATTCATATCGTATAAGGCACCGGCCTTCATCGTATGCTCACTATCACATTTGGTGGACTTAACGCTCACTCTGCCAAGCATTTACGAACCTTACCCTATTCTTTTGTTGGATTCTATTTGCAGAATTACTCACGCATGACCTTACAGGGCTTGGTGATCCCTTTGAATACGCTGTGACAGACCGGACGGTCTCAACCATGCGCAGGCGCCTGCGAGACGCACTACCCTGGTGGCGTTCGTGGTGCACCAGTAGCTTCATCATATCAGTCATTGACAGAGGCTACTGGATGCCTTGGAAACAAGGGCCCCCACAGCCTTTTCGGGGCACCAATCATGCGAGGGACCCAAGTTTACGAGGCATTTATGAAGACCGCCATCGCGGATCTCCTCCAAACCGGCGCCGCAGCAAAGGTGCCAAAATCAACGCTCACGTGCATCAACCCTCTTAACGTTATAGAACAGCGCGACAAATGTCGCCTCATCCTCGATCTGCGCAAGGTCAACCAGGAGCTACAAATTCCCAAATTCAAGTACGAGGGACTCAATCGCGTTGCCAAGTTGGCGCGAGCGGGCGACTGGATCTTTTCAATCGACCTGAAGTCTGGCTATCACCACGTCGACATCCACCTGTCGTGTCGGAAATTCCCGGGTTTCCAATTTGGTGGGCACTCATACTGCTTCCGCTCCCTTCCGTTTGGACTGGCTATAGCACCGTTCATCTTTACGAAGTTGATCAAGTTGCTCACGCACCGCTGGAGAACAACGAAAGTGCGTGTCATACCGTATGAGGACGATTCCTCTTCCTTGGTCATTCGGAAGCCGACGGCCGGGAAACTTGCAACCACATTATTGGCGATCTTCGCAATGCGGGCCTCGTGATCAACCCAGTGCTTACGTTTCCGGGGCTTGGAAATCGATACCAAAGTCGACCAATTCTCTGTGGGTCCGTAACGGCGTGGCACACTGTAGGCTACTATCTAGTCGCTCCTGGAAGCCGGACGCAACCTGTCCAAGGTCCCTGTCTCGCACGTTGCGCGGGTTACAGGCATGCTTGCTTCAATGGCACTTGCGCTCGGGGCCACTGCTAGGGCATTCAGCCACGCCCTGCTGTAGACCATCAACGACAATCCTCCCTGGAATAGCAGAGTATCGCTCTCACCTATCGCCTGCGAGGAGTTGGAATTCTGGTAAACCAATTTTGACCACTTCAACGGTGCCCCATTTCATGTGCGCTGTAGCTACGATGCTGTAATTCACGTTGAGGCGAGCAGCCAAGACTAGGGGGCTACTCTCAATACGTTCTCGGGCAACCTATGTGAAGCCAGCATGAACATGCCCGCCGCTTTGGGACACACATCTAGTACCTGTCGATAGATCAAAGGGGTTCTATGGGCACTGCAGACATACATCGACCTACTTTGAAACAAGCATGTGCTCGTGCGTGTGGATAATCAGGGAGTTTTCTTCATATTGAAGAAGGGTGGCTCACAGAGCCCTGATCTCACCATCGCTTGCAAGGAGATCATTCGCACATGTACTACCCACCGAGTTCGCCTTATGATGGAGTGGATCCCTCGCGAACTCAACAAGCATGCGGATGAGCTTTCCAAGATACTCGATCGCGATTACTACATGCTCAAAACGCCGTGGTTCAACATCCTGGATTGGTGCTGGGGTCCCCATTCCATTGATCTCTTCGCCAATGCTAGCAACGCCAAGCTGAGTCGTTTCTGTTCCGGTAACCCACACCCCACGGCTACGACGATCAACGCTTTCACGATCTCTTGGTGTGCAGAACACGGTTTTGCCTTTCCCCCACCTCCATTGATCCCCGCCGTCCTCCACCATGCGCAACGTACACACGCGTCTCTCACCCTGGTACTTCCCCATTGGGCCAATGGTGCAGCGACAAGGCCAAAGAAATGTACTTCCCCATTGGGCCAAAGATAGTGCAGCTGAAACAAGCACTCACGTCCGCACCTGTACTCATCCTCCCATACCCCGAATGCGACTACGTTATCGAAGCTGATGCTAATAACCAGGCAGTGGGAGAAGTCTTGATGCAAGACCAGGGGAATGGATTGAAACCAATGACCTACCTCAGCAAGAAACTACACGGGGCAGAACTAAACTACCTGATACATGACAAAGAGACCCTTGCTATTATCATCGCCTTCAAAACGTGGAGATGCTATCTCGAAGGACGAAAAACAACCGTCTACACCGACCACTGTAGCCTGAAATATTTGAAGATACAACCAAACCTCTGCAGGTGGCAGGTCTAGTGGATTGACTTCCTCAAGGCACACTTCTTCTATGACATCGTGTACAAGCCCGTCCACAAAAACAGAGAAGATGCTCTTAGTCGGCCTGCACACGTTGCCGCAATCCAGGTCGAAGGGGTGAACCCACTACTCAAGGGACTCTTCAGACACGGGTACGCCATCGACCCTAAAATTCCTTTGGCAGAAAAGTGACACCTGCTACAGTTGGACAGTGGCATCACGTACCGGAAGGGATCAACGAAAATCTGGGTACCCAATTACCCTCCTTTGCGCCAGATATTACTCGAAGAATACCACGATGTCCTATACGCGGGACACTTCGGTAGCAATAAAACGCTCACCGGCATTGCAAAGCACTACTAATGGGATGAAGAACAATAAGCAGAAAAAGCCAGGACTGCTACAGCTTCTTCCTGTCCCAGAACAGCCATGGCAAGTGGTTAGCCTGGATTTCATAACCGGGTTACCAACTACCACGAGCGGTCATGACGCAATCCTCGTCGTCGTCGACAAATTCTCCACAATGGGACACTTCATCCTGACACACACGACATCACGCACCGAAGAGACAGCACAACTATTCGTTCACTATATAATCTCACAACATGGCATTCCAACCACACTCATCTCCGACCGAGACCCCAAGTTCACTAGCAAGTTATGGAAGGAACTGATGTCTCTGCTCGGGACCAAACTCACCATGTCATCCGCCTACCATCCGCAGTCAGATGGACAAACCGAACGCCTCAACCAAATTGTAGAGCAACTCCTCCGCGCAACATGCAAAGACGAAATCTCTAAATGGGACTTGCATCTGCCCGCCTTTGAGTTCGCCTTCAACAACGTCACTCACGTCGCTACTGGACAGACGTTGTTCTTTCTCTGCTACGGACACCACCCGCTCACGCCACAAAATCCGACAGCATCAGCCAGAGTCCAACCAGCACACGACTTCATCACGACCATGCATCAGCTTTGGGATCGGACCTACAAGCTCCTCCTCGACATTCAGCACCAACAGAAGCGTTAGGCCGATCGCCACCGCACTGACCACACCATCACCGCGGGAGACCGGGGTTCTACTCGACACCCGCAATCTCGACATCAGTCATCTCCCATCCAAACTGCGACCTCGCTTTTGTAGACCCTTTCTCGTTGAAGCATAGGTACAGTAACTCTTGTTACCTTTCGCTTACGCCTCCCAGCTACCTGGAAGATTCACGTCTTCCATGTCCAACTTCTGAAGCCATATCGAGATCCAAACACGGTCTTCATCGGATGCCACCCGCCGCCGCCGCCGCTCATCCTCCTCCACGATGAACCTGAATACGAGGCCGAGTCAGTGCTTGTACACCGTCGTCGTCAGAATGGCGCTGTGGAGCTTCTTATTCATTGGAAGGGTTATGATCCTTCTAAGGATAGTTGGGTTTCTTAAACTGAGATGGGTAACGCTCATCATCCTCTTCGCGACCACCTTGTCAATCGGGGTGTTACTTCAACCACCCAACTTTGAGAGGGGGAAGTGTGAGAGTACGACCCCGTTACACTTCTTTCTCATTTCCATCTTTGTCCTCTATCTCATTCTTCTTTTTATCCTAATTCTTTTGATCTTTATCTCATCCCATTTGGTTTCCTATCCCTCCTTTTTTCATTATCCTTTGGGTTATCCAATTATTATAATTATATCACCGATCATGCTCGGGATGTACTGGCGCGCTATATCTAGCGTAATCCTGCCGTAATCCCGTAAAAGCCAATAGCCTTGCATGGCTATACGCAGGGTGATTCTATTTCTAGAAGGGTCTATTCCCTTTGGATAGGATAAACCTGGTTACCCGATATACCTTGGAAGTATAAAAGCACCTTGTATCAATCGATAGTGCAACTTTTCCTTCACACATTCGATCCTGTAACAAAAGGTCTGAAAGAAGTCAACACCCTCGCGCTGATTGAAACCTCTAGCCACGTAGCGTGCCTTGAATACAGGCGGCTCTCCAGAGGGGCGCTTCACCTTGAAGAGCCATCGGCCATCGACTACGTTCACCCCACGCGGGGGAACTATGTCGACGAAGGTGCCGGTGGATCTCCAAGATGCCATCTCCTGCTCCATGGCAGCTATCCACTGAGAGGCTCAGGGTCCCAACGTCGCCTCAGTGTAAGTGCAAGGGGTCAGCATGTCAAGGGCGGCTGGGTCACCCTCAGGGACTAGCAGCATGGAACAGAGATGGAGAGCGGCCTTAGACAGGAAAGCAAGCTTGTAATGCCTATCCTCTAGGACGTCATTGCCAAGGGCAGGAGCACCCCTGACGGACGGAGGGCAGGCAGGGCCAAAGACCAGAGCTGTTGCGTAGTCAAGGCGGCGGGTAGAGGCAAAGTCAGTGACAGCAGCGACAAGAGCGTCAAAACGCGAGACAGGAACAGACGGGTCGGTAACGAGGGAGGCAAGGACGTGAGGAACAAGAGGACGAGTGACACGAAGGTAGTTAGACAGAGGAGAAGGAGTGACAACAAGCGACGACGGAGGAGGCGAGGGTAGGAGGGGAGGACGAGACGCGTGGGAACGAAGCTACATGAGGTGCGAGCGCTAAACAGGAGAGACAAGACGAGCACAAGTGGGACGGCGAGACCAGAAGTGGGACGAAGGCGTCGGGTCAGGAGACACAGGAGGAGTCACATGAGGAGAACGAGAGGGGAAACGAGCAGGGGACGAGACCGGCGGAGGAAACACAGGGTCGTAGACATGCATAGTAGGTGGCAGCACGGAAGGCGCTGGCTGCTGAACAGGGGAGGGAAGGCCGGGGAGGCGAAGGGCGGACACCGGCGGCGACTGCGGCTGCTGCTGCTGCTGCTCCACGCCGACACCAGAACTTCCATCTGCTCCACGGCTACTTCCGGAATGCTCCACTCCAGCACCCCCAGAACAAGAACCCTCTCCAACACCGATGCCACTCCCGAGACTGCCGGGACAAGCCACGACAGGAACCCCAGGACTAGCAACCCCAGAACCAGTTCCCCCAGGCCTAGAACCCTCCTGAACGCTCGCAATCCCAGAGCGCACGGACGGCTGCGGCGGCGGCTGCTGTTGCGGCTGCGACGACGGCTGCGTCTTCTACTGTGGTGGTGACAGTGGCTGCTGTTGCTGCGACGGTGGAGGAGGGGACACCGGGGGAGAAACAGGCAGCAAGAATGGCGGCGCGGGGCCACCAGAGTCAGCCGACTCCTCGACCGGGACAACTGACAGGACGGGAGTGACGTGAGACACACCAGACCGAGCAGGACGAGGAAGGAGGGGAGAAGGGGCTACCGGGGGAGTGGGACCAAAAACAGGGGCGGGGAAACTGGGAGACCTCGGTGGGGAATGCGGTGGTAGAAGGAGACGCACTCGTCAAAAGTGACGTCCCGTGAGTGCAAATAGCGGTGAGACGGTGGGCAGTAAAGTTCCAGTCTGACGTGTCAAGAGGGAAACCAAGAAAGACACAGGGGACCGTGCGGGCAGTGAGCTTGTCCCTGCTAGAGGCAAGAACATGGGCGAGGCAGCCCCAGACGTGGAACGCGGACACGTCACCATGGAACCCGGTCCAGAGAGGGGTCGGCGAAACCTGCGACCGCTGGGAGTGCGGCCACATGTTAAGCTGGTGAGCGGCGTAGCGAACGACGAACGGCCACATAAAATGGGGTGCACTGGCATGGATCATGGAGGTACGAGCCACCTCCATGACCAAACCGATGCATCGCTCAGCGACCCCATTCTGCTGCGGGGAGTCTGATAGGGTGTACGATTGGGCGATGCCCTCCGCACGCAGAACTGTCCAAACCGACCGGAGGCAAACTCGCCGCCATGGTTGGAGTGGAGACAAAGCACAGGGAGACCGCTGTGGACAGGCGCAGCTACGACCCATGGGATAAGGTCGTCAGGCACGTCGGCCTTCCGCTACAGGGGAAACACCGTGGTGTAGCGCGTGTAGTCGTCGACGAGCACGTGAAAGTAGCGCTCGCGACGCGGCCCAGGGACAGGGGCTGGGCCCCAGCAGACGTCCAGATGCAGGGTCTGGAGTGGCGCAGTGGCAGGGCGAAGCGAGGAGGAATGAGGAGCACGGCGCAGCCGGCCCTCGACGTAGGGCGTGCACGGCGGCACAGGCAATGGAGGGAGTGCTTGGAGCGACGCAGGGAGACCTAGGACGAGACCGTGCTGAGACATGTGACGCAGGCGCGGGAGTGTGGGGTGACCTAGGCGGTGGTGCCATAGAAGCGACGGGTGAGTGAGCGACCGACACGAGAAAGTAGCAGCGACCTGGGTAGACGCAGGACCCGGGCAGGACACGCCCACCGGGGGGGGAAGCAGTGTCAAACGTAAACAGGCCAGACACCAGGTACTGGGGGAACGTCGCAAGGTGGGCACCTGAGGCAACCTCGGTACAGACAGCGTACCGCTCTTGACCAGGGAACATAGTGGTGACGCCGAGGTCCTGAAGACAGCCGACACCAACTAGGTTCCTGGAGAATGAAGGGACTAGGCTTGGAACGAAAGGAAGCCATGGAATGGCGTGAGGGTTTAGGAGCTAAGAACTAGTTGGTGTCGGCTGTCCTCCAGGACGTCATTGCCGAGGGCAGGAGCACCCCCGACAGACGGAGGAAAGGCAGGGTCAGAGACCAAAGCGGCGGCGTAGTCAAGGCGGCGGATAGAGGCAAATTCAGCGACCGCAGCGACAAGAGGGTCAAGACACGAAACCGGAACAGACGGGTCGGTAACAAGAGAGGCAAGGACCCGAGGAACAAGAGGACGAGCGGCAAGAAGGTAGTCAGACATAGAGGGAGGCGCAACGATAAGGGAGGATGGAGGAGGCGACGGGAGGAGGGGAGGACGAGACGCGTGGGAACAAAGCAACATAGGGTGAGAGCATGGGACAGGGGAGACATGGCGAGCACGATAGGGACGGCGGGACCAGACGTGAGACGGAGGCGTCGGGTCCGGAGACAGAGGAGGGGACACAAGAGGGGAACGAGGGGGGAGACGAGCCGGAGACGAGTCCGGGGGAGGGAACATAGGGCCGTAGACAGGAAGTGGAGGAGGCACAGACGCGGGGTCAGGGGACGATATGTAAGAAACAGAACTTTGATTGATTAAAATGAGAGAGGGCATGCAAGCTTAAGTACTAACCATAGGATAGGGTTGGAAGGGATAAGGGAAATCGTAGGGAATCCTAAGGGAATCCTCCCAATTCGTGGGGATTTGGGATGGATTGGGTTGGGATAGGTTGGAGATAAAAAACTACACCCAACCTTACAAACATTCCTAACCCTAAACAAACAAATGACTAACACACAAATGTGCAACATTGCAGCCTATCTCCAACACACCCCCTAGGCTACAACGGCGGAAGTCATTGGGACGCCAAGACCCATAGCACGGAGGAGGCGGTAGTGGTCACGACGTCCAAGAGACTTGGTGAAAAGGTCTGCCAGGTTGCAGTCAGAAGAAATGTGCTTCACCCACAACTGCCCGCGCTGGACCCACTCGCGCGTAAAGAAGTGCCAAAGCTCGATATGCTTAGTTCGTTGGTGGAAGACAGGGTCTTTGGTAAGGTGTATAGTGCTCTCGTTGTCACACCATAGGGTCGGGGTCCGCTGAGGATACCCGAGCTCTGCCATGAGGTAGGTAAGCCATCGGGCTTCTTGGGCTGCCATGGTGCCTGCGTATAGCTCTGCTTCGCAGGACGACAAAGAGACGGACGATGGGCGTGTAGATCGCCAGCTGATGACACCACTACCAAGGGTGAAGCAATAGCCCTGGGAGGAGCGTCGGTCAGCTTGGTCGTCAGCCCATGAGGAATCACTGTACCCCTCGAGGTGAGGAGGGGACGTGCCACCAAGAGTGAGGACAAAGTCCTTGGTGGCTTGAAGGTAGCGAAGGACACGCTTAGCAGCTGACAAGTGGCGATTGGTGTAACGACCAGCAGCAACATAACGTGAGAGCACGCTGATGGGATAGGCCAAGTCGGGCCTTGTGCACATCATCGCATACATGAGTGAGCCGATGAGCTCGGGATAAG